AGAAGGATAAGATTGTTATTTGCAGGCAAGTAGATGGGACTGGAGGTGGTAGTATTAGACAAAATAATCCAGACTCAAAAAGACAAACAAGAAAGCCAAACATTTCCTATTTTCTCTGAAATGGATATTGAAAATGTTGAAGGAGAGAGAAGGAATGCAGAAAGAGGGGAAAGAGAGTGAGGAGAAAGGGTTAACGGGAGGAAAGAGATAAAATGTTACATATTTTCCCTCCCATGTGAAATATATGTATATATACATATACATATGTACATGTGGCTCTCTGTCTCATGCACACACACACACACACACACACATACATACAGATACACAGATGTGCACACACAGAAAGAGACATAGACACATATAGACAGATGCACACAGAGATACACACACACACAGACACATGCAACAAACACAGATACATATACAGAGATGCATACACGCACACACACACACACGTGTATGTGTGACAGGAAAACAGATCATGGAATATTATTTGGGAGAAGAAAGGAATACAGCATGAGGTGGAGGGAAGAAAGAAAAATGATATTAAGGATGAATTATGTGGTCAAATCACAATGTTATAGATGCATGAAGATGTCAAAATTAAACCTGTTACTTTGGACAATAACTGAAAATGAATAAAAAAATAAAATTTTATAAGAAAGAAAAGCTGACAAAAAGGAAGGTAAGTGTGGTGGTTTGAAGACCATGCATGTGCATGCATGCACGCACACACACATGCGCGAGCACACACACACACACACACACACACACACGTGTGCATGCGTGAGCACCTTAGACTTGTGGATCAGTTGTGATCTCTCAGCTACTACTCCAGCACCTTGCCTGTCTGCCTACTGCCATGGTCCTTACCGTGATGGTTATGAACTCACTTCTGACACTGTAATCAAGCCTTCAATTAAATGCTATGTATTTATAAGTTGTCTTGGTCATAGTGTCTCTTCACAGCAATAGAAAAGTAGCTAAGGCAGGAAGGGAGAGGGAGAGAGAGCTTCTATATTAGCTTTCCTTCTGCTGGGCAACTTGTAGATGCTACAGATGAATGGATCTCCTGACTAGAGTGTAGTTGAGTAAATAAATTCAGTGTTTGTGGATATATTTTCCTGTCTTTTATGGGATATGGTGGTTATTTATGGGAATGGCTCCAGAGGCTCACATATTTGAATACTTTGTCCTCAGTTGGTGGAACAGTTGGGGAAGGATTAGGAGGTGTGGCCTTTTGGGAGGAGCTGTTCCACTGAGGCTGGGCTTTAAGGCTTCATAAGGCTTGTGGGATTCCCAGTGTGTTCTCTGCCTCGTGGCTGTGTCTCACCATGTGATCCTTCACTACTACAGAATCAGGGACTTTAGCCCTCCTAAGTCATAGGCCAAATTAGATGCTTTCTTTTATAAGTTACCTGGTCACTGTGTTTTATCACAGAAATAGAAAAGTAAGACATCAGAGAAGAAGAGAGGAGGGAGAAGGAGGAGGGGGAGGAGGAGAAGAAGAAGAAGTAGGAAAAGGAGGAGGAAGAAGAGGTGGAGGAGGAGGAAGAGGAGAAGAAGAGGAAGAGGAAGAGGAGGAAGAGGAGGAAGAGGAAGAAGAAGAAGAAGAAGAAGAAGGAGAAGGAGAAGGAGAAGGAGAAGGAGAAGGAGAAGGAGAAGGAGAAGGAGTC